GGCCCTGTGATGGACTTGCGACCTGTCCAGGGTGAACCCCGCCCCTCGCACTGTGACTGCTGGATATGGGCTCCAGTGACCCACACAACCCTGAAAGGAAGAAGCGTGTACAGAAAACGGATGGTTTCATCATTTTAACTTATTTGGAACCCCCTGCCCCAAGTTATTTGCAAAGAAAAGGTTTCAGCTGGTTAAACGGACAGATTGTCATAAAATTTCATTTTTTTTTTTCAATATAAAGCAATTGTATAAATGGTCAATAAACGAATGAGGCAATATAAAAATATTATTTATCCCTCATACCCTAAGATGAGTTTCATTTTCGTGGTAAATAAAAATTGATTTCATATATCCAAAAATATGACTGAACTCCTAGTGGTAGAGTCTTTTCCAGATTTTTATACCAACAGAAAGAAAAACAAGTCAGATTGCACTTTCAGTTTCTGACCAGCATTATTTCAGCAGAACGTTTGCTTCATTCAGTTAATGAAGCAGTCATTTGTTAAAAATAACTGTGCGATGTGAAGCCAGAGAAACGGTGAACACACCTCTTCCATTCTGCTTGTTTGTTGCATCTCACCTTGCTCACATGGAGATGAAGATTTGTGACAACTCATGCACTGAGAGTGTGTGATGTTGAAACACTGAAGCTATTTTAGAGATGTGAAAGCATAAACTGCTCTGATCACTGGTTGCTTTCTGTTTCTACAGGCAGCTATGCTCAGAAAACGTCAACATGCTCCATCCAAACACAGGTCTTTAAAGGAGACCAATTATGCATCCTAGAATTTTTATGGTACGTCTGTGGGCTATCCAGACCATGTTCATTCAATTTAAAGCACAAAATAATTCTCAGATAATAAAATTTCCCATTTTCTAGTTCTGCCTGCTCTGACTTCCGTTCAGAACGAGCTGTTACTGTTAATGAGCTCTGTTGGTAACGCCCTCCAAACTCCGTCCTCCAGAACCAGCGTTTACGTTAGCATGGCTAGAAATAGCAGAAGCTCCATTGCACAACCGTATATATGAGACCCTGAGTCAGACCCAGAGGCAGAGTCGGTCGCAGCTTCTTTTTTTTTCTCCCCCTCCTCCTGTCGGAGCTCTGCGCTCACTCTGCATGCTGTTACCAGGGCAGGTAATGGGAGCAGCAGCGGTCAAAATACCTCAGAAACTTGAACAATAGCGATACATGAGAAAATGTGTTCATAACGAACGAAAATAAATAGTGTTTGTGTCCATGTCGGTCTCTAACCCTGGTTTCCCGCTCTCTGGTCCGACAATCTACCCATTGCCCTATGGGAAGGCTTGTTGTGAATTGAGCTGCGCTTTACACAACAACAACCGTGACAGCTGTTTATACTGAGGAGGTGGAGCCTCACCAGGGGTTGTTAGGTGAGGGGCTGAACGCAGATTCCGGTGGGTTGTCGTATAGCTTGTGACATCACAAAATGTAGGAAGTATAAAACTTGTCATCAATATACATTAAAAATACATTTACTTACAGTAAATATGCCCCTGGGTGCATTTTTTTAGGTCTTAGGACTATTTAAGAAGTACATACCCAAAGTTGAGTAAAAAAAAGCTTTAAAAAGTGAATTKTGCATAATAGGTCCCCTTTAAATGGCAGAGGTTTACAGGCTCCGTAGGTAACTTCTGTCATGTTTGAATACATTCCAAGACACTTCAGTTTTGTGGACATAATCAAAAATGAGCAAGGGGTCTGTTTTTTGTTGTTTTTTTTTAAACAGACGAATGCTATAAACAGCAGATTGAGGGTCACGTTTCTCATAGGCAAGGGTAGGAAAGGTGCAAAGCTTTAAACATGTGGGTTTGTAAAAGGAAAGAAACACATGCAGACAGTCATACGAGCATATAGAGGGTCAAAGATGTCTCTCAGTATCAACTGATGGCATCGCTTTTGACCACATGGTAAAGATAGATTTGCTCAAACCCCAAAAAGCAACAGGACTGAAGAAGCCTGAGACTAGGGGGGAGGCACGACATCATAACCACATTCCCCTGAAGGTGACATGCAGCACACACCTTTGGCTTGGAAAAGTTTCACACAGAGTAAGAGTCACTGTACTCACTGGTTTCCCATTCCTGTGATGAGCAGCGGACAGGAGAAACACACACGTACACGTGACGACAATTAAACGTGACAAACTGACATCAAGTTACAAGTTTTAGTGTAAAGGTTAATGCAGACTTTTTTTAATAATCAGCAAGACTTTCATACGGATTAGCACACATGTACATACATTTACAAACAGACACATTAATGCAATTGAGAAAACAATGTCTAAATGTTTACTCGACTAAAGAGATTTTGTTTGAACAAATAAGGCAGCCTAAACACAAGAACTTATGATAACCTGAGTTTTGATAGTGGCCAAACTTCAGCGCCTTTAAATTATGTCTCAAAAGACAGGCCACTGCACGTCCCTGAGTTATGACCCAAACCTCGCATCAAAGAAACAAATCAGACTGAATTCCTGTGAAGACAGATCAACTTCAGTGGAAGTCACAAAGATACATCAATAATTTCATTAACGGTTTGGATTTTTGTCATGGCACCATCCCTAACATTTTAAAAGAATCTGGATTGAGTTCAATAACAGGCCTGTCACAATAACCAATTTTGCTGTATTCTCTCAGAAATTATTGCGATAAACGATATCATTTAGAGACAATTTTACACTAATATAATGAAGACACCCCCCCACACACTACCCACAACCCACTTACAAAGCTTACAGAAGTTTATGAAATTTATGCATGTAAAAACAAAAAAGTAACAGACCTGGACCAGAGATCAACAAAACACACAACACCTGATAAAGCTGTAAAACCTCTTCCCATCTCCTCTATCCAAGCCGGTGCAATTTATTCAGCATAGGTCTTCCTCTGGCTTCATAAAATAACCACTGTCACTCTCACGCCGCTTACGAAATTTATGGAAGTTTGCGAAATTTACGTAAAGTTACGAACGACGGAGAGCAGAGATTGTGCAATCAGTCTACTGAAGCTGTAACGCCACCCACCTCTATCCAAGCTGGCCCAATCCATTCTTTGTCTTCCTCTAGATTCATAAAATAATTAAGATCACCTGCTTACAAAGTGTACAAAATTTACATGATATAAAGAAAATGAATTAATTAATTAATTTAAAAAAACTCTGTTTCCTTGAGGGCGTCCTGAGGTGTTGCCAGCTGAAAGGCATTGGAAAACTAAAACTGCTCCTCGAGCTAAATGCCTGTTGACGGGGCTCTCATGCTACAGAGCAGGGGTGCCCAAACATTTTCCCTGAGAGGGCCAAAATTAAAATCAATCTGAGGGCCTGGGCCAAATGTAATAATATGAGAAATGCAAATACTTAAATAAAGTAGTTTTATTTTTTATGATTAAGTTAGCAGCCAGTGTAGTTGCCCACATTCTTTAGTTTTTTTTTCAGCCCATGGACATGGAGAAAATTCAATGTATGCTCAGGCAGCAAAGGCTCATGGGACTTTATCATTTAAAATCTGAGTATATGTGGTCTTATAAGGTGTGCAAATCTAGATATGAGCTTAAATCTCATCTAAATGTCTCTTGCAGTTACTTGTATTTTATATTAAATCTTATAATTACAATCTAGTAACTGTTGGTGGGCCAAATCAAATGGCTCGGGGGGCCGATTTTGGCCCACAGGCCCCACTTTGGGCACCTCTGCTACAGAGGTTACGAGAACACGCACTGGCAAATACCTGAAGCCCGAATTCGCTCCCCTCTACAAAAGGGAGACATGAAGAAAACACACAAGCAAGCAAATGAAAATATCAACCTCATTTTATATTTATCAGGGAAGTAATTGATTTATTGCTTATCGCGACAGGCCTATTCAAGAAGTTGATCGTCATCATTATTGGGGGGGGTTACTAGAAAAGTTTTATAAATGTTCATTGCTGGATCACCTGTAAGTCAGAGTCACTCCAACCTTAGCKCCAGTCTTCAAATGGATCTTAATGGTCAGAATCAAACTATTTCTCCAAATTGAGGCCGTTCMAAGCACCATCTATGACAGGTAAGATATTAAATGTTTCCATAGAACCTCACTTCAATAAGATCCATGACTGTTTCAGTCATTGGTCCTCTAATTTACACAAGTTTATCACAACATAACAAACTAAAGGACATGGTTTAATGGCCAGGATCTGGATGGACCTGGGTAATCAGTTTTAGAGCCGGTCTTCCAAAGAGTATCCGGGTTTGTCTCCTGCACAGCCTGCTTTCTGTTTTTGGAATCATATTTCAGACATCATCACAGAGGTAATCTTGTGTTCCTCAGAAATCTCAAGACAGATGGAAGAAGGGGTAGAAGACACACGAAAAAAACAACTCGATGAAGTCGAAGCTGACAAGACAGAACTCCATTCACATTTTTCATACACCAACAATAAGAATGATTCATTAGGTCAAAACAGCTGAGCTCAAAAAAAATCGTCAAGGCCTGCGCAGTAGTGGGCGAGCGCATTCCCTGGTGTGCCAAGTGCACAAACACAAAATGAAAAAGAAAGAAAAACACAGTTTGTGATTCATCATTCATTTACTCCAATCACTTTTCATTTGATTCAGAAACAAAGACTTTAAGGGCTTGGCGTGGTGCCTCACCAGAACTGTAAATCAATTAACCTTTTGTCTGCACAGTCACAAAGATTAGTCTTCTTGTSTTATTGATGCACAACGAATCTGCACTTACTAACTGATCAATAAGCCTCCAATAATCAATAGAGGGTGAGAGAAACTTGAAAGTGAATTAAAAGAGACAAACTGAATGTGCTTGAAACACCAGAKAAAAGCACATTAATGCAAGGTTGATGTCAGTTGTTTTTAAAGATTAATAATAACACCTGCAGGGCTCTTTAAAAGCTTATGTTATTTATAGATAGTTGGCTGAACTCTAAGCCACATCACAGCCCTCTTGTGGCTTCAGTGGAAGGAGAACAGACAAGCCATCACCTCACTGTGGAGCATTTCCCATGGACTCGAAAGTACAGAGGTCCGTTCTGGACCACAACCCCTGGAACGTGTAACCTTTAAACTCACCAGTTCTCCCACCACTGCTACAAAACACGCTCCTCCTAAACGAAAAGTCCAAACAGACGTAGCTAGTTCATGAACATTACTGATAAATGTCGCGTGGTGGGAGGAAGAAAGCTGTTAAAATCCCGGGCAACAAGCCACGCCCTCTGGCCTTTTTTAATGGAGGAGTCAGAGTTAAAGTTGTTGAGATGACAGGACAGAACAGCAGCGGTCCTCCTTACCTAAAAATGTTCGGTGCGTTGAGGTTCGGCKTCCGTCCGTCAGTCCCCTTCGCTCCGAGCGCTCCCACTGCAGCCAGCACCAGCAGCCGATCCTCCTGACGTCACCTCAGGGCACAGCGCCAAGCGGACCAATCAGCGTCGGAGCTGAAGCGACCAGGTAAAAAAATAAAAAAAAATAAAAAAAAAAAGCACACAATAGTTTGTTAAGGCAGGCCGTTGTGACATGTAATCAACCCAAACTCATCTACAGCTACAGAAGTAAATGCTTAGTGCTGAACTTTTCTGAAGAAGTCAAAACTGCGTTTTGTCAAAGCTGAAAACAAAGCAGGACACTAGCTCAAAAAAAAAAAAGAAAAACACAAAAGTTAAAATAAAAAAAACTAGGTAAAAGCAGCAAAAATACTAGCTAAAAGTTAAAACAAGATAAATGCTAGAAAGCAATTTAGCTGGGTGGGTTGCAACTCAGGAAGCAGGACTCGGGTGTCACAAAAGACACAAAGTTTATTAACACAAGAAAATMTTTAGGTCTCAAATGGAACACAGGAGGACTGAGGACAAAACTGAAGAGCCAGGATGGGCACCAACCCACATGCACAACATCAAACAATGAACCAATACCAGGAGCAGATCCAGTACTTAATCAGGGAACCAGGAACACCTGGGGAGAGGGAAACGAGGCACAGGTGGAACAGATGGGTTAACGAGGACGCAGGCTGGGGAGAAACACACGTAAAAACCACCTGCAGACAAAAAGACACTGTGACTCACGAGGCTAGTKAAATGAAGCAAAAAGCTAATTAAAAATAGCAAAAAAGGATTACTAAGTTTTTCTTTTCAGACATTTTATTGTATATTGACGCAGTATGGATTGTTGTCTTGTAGCATCAACTTTACAGTTTAGTTTAGTGGCTGTCAGATAGACTCATATTTAAATGTTTTTTGTTTTTTTTTTTGGTATACAGAAAAAGATATGATTAATTCAATACCTAATTAAGCCTAACTCATTCAGTTTTTTTTTTTCTGATTTTACTTTCATGACCTTTAAGCCTGCTAAGGTAGGCCTGTAGACGGTTTCAAACGGTTTCCTCTTGGAAATAATATTTCTTTTTGTTAAATGATGGAATCCAAATTGCTTCTCTGAGACCATTGCTGATGTSTTCACTCCTTGACATTGTGTTAACACATAACTGAATGTTGGACAGAAAACTTCTCACAGTAAACCTGTTCTTACAGAGGTGATCACACTGATTTTCAGTTTTTTTTTTCAGTGCAGTTGACCAGCAACATGGCTGCTGCTCTCCTTCTATGTCCTATTTTTTCCATGTTGCTCCTTCAGTGAGTTCCATTATACTTTTTTGACAGAATTTCTGACTTCGAGTCAGGAAAAAGCAGCTGAAATGGCTCCCAAAATAGGAATTCAAACTCAAAATGTGAGTTTCTTACACCATCAACCTTAGGCACATATTTTACATTTCACTTCTGTCTGTTTCTGTTTCATTAAATCAGTCAGTCTCTATTAATAAATAAGTTACTAAAGTGTTTTAAAWGCAGACGAATACAGTTAGTCTGGTTACCATCAAGTACTTAAAACACAAAGTTAAAATATATTTTTAAATATTCCTAATCAAGGTTTTAATCATATTTCCGACGACCGATTTCTGAAATGAAARCATAACATTTTTTATATTTTACAAATTGTAGTTAGTATAAGTAGAAATATTATATATATTATTGTTTATTTTTTATTTTGCATATCTAAAATGAAACAGAAAATACTGTAGAAATCTGAAACGGGAGCTTCTTTTTATAAGATTTTTGTTTCAGACAGCCAAAACGTTTAAGGATAATTTTGTGTTAATCTGAAGACAAAAGCCCAAAGCACAATGACATCATTAGTTAAATAAAGAATGATGTTTGAGAAAGTTTTATTATGATTACCATATATTCTTTGAAGAACCTGTCCAACTGTTATATAACAAATCAGCTTGCCGTACAGACATCAGCCTCCTCCACCTGTGGTGTACCTCCACTCACAGGGCTTGGAGATGAGCTGCTGCCTTGACAGTATTTTTGACAAATGACCATTAAAGAGTCCTTATAGACCAGGCTGACAGCAACTCTGCTGCTGGCARAAATTAGTCCTGGCTGCATGTGCACATTTTGAAATAATTGGTCCCCAGGCATATAGACTTTTTTAAATATGCTAAATTGCWSTTGCACAAATTTTTTTGCTATTGTTTTTGCACTGTATGCTGCACAGTTAGTCACAATCACTTGTTGCCTCTTTGAGGGTTTTGTGTCTCTTCTTAGATGCTTTGCATCTCTTTGTAGTTATCATGCGTCTCTTTGTGGCTGTTTAGCATGTCTTTGTTGTTGCCAGCATTCATTTGTCGTGATTTTGCATCTATTTTTGATTGTTTTGCCTCTGTCTGTGGCCTTTATCTGCTAAAACATAAGTGTCAAACATGCAGCAGGCCAGTGCAGGAAAAAAAAGCTATTTATGCACGAGTGTGATACGTTAAAAACAGTTGGTTATCAGCCTGATGTTAAAGATAAACCTTATAGAACTAAACCATGTCATCTTTGATGATTTGAGAGAAAAGTTTGGTTTGAACTAACAGCAAGAGAAGCTTGTTGAGCAGGTTGTCATTCATGTGAGACTGCATGCTGTTTAGAAGAGTTAAGCAATCTCAAAATGTGACCCCGTATGCCCTGTTTCAGTTTGATCAGTGACAAATAGGTTTAATATAAAAGCTAAATGATCCCTGCTCCACTGCCTTGCTTCTATCATATGTTTAAAAAAAGATAATGGTGAACCTGTAAATGTAAAAACTCTTAAAACAACAGAAACTATCAGTTTGTATATACATCTGCACAACTTCCTTTTTCATAACCAAAAAATATAATTAGACACGTGATGACTCAAAAGCTGTTTATGAACAGGTGTTTTAGTCCTGCTTTATTTTCTGATACTGGAACAGGTGAAAGGTGAAAACGTGATTTCAAGTGCATTTGCATTTCAAAGCTGCTTACAAAGAAACTACTTATAGGCAATATACTGCAAAAACAAACAGGTCCATCAAACGGRTTGGGAAACATTTAAAAGAAAATGATCAGGCATCTGTCTGGAAAGAAAGAATAGACTTGTGAGATAGGAAACATTAAAAAATTGAGCATTCATTTAGCAGTAGTGGATGAAAACAGGGTCTTTTGGGAGGAAAAATACATTTAGACATTGCCCTGAGACCCCAGTGCCTGGTCACATTTACTGATCACCATTAATGAGATCAAATAAAAATAGGTGTTTGGTGCTCTGAAGCATCCAGGTGTGTTACAATGTCATGGTGGAAAGATGAGTAATGATCTTACAGAAGCAACTGTTGCTGCTCGTCAAGGGAAGGGTACTGTAATTTTCAGACAAGTTGGAGTTCAAAAAGATTTTTCACTGGTTGAAAAAAATAAACATATTTGCAATCTTCCCAAGTATGGACATTCCAGAAAACTCACCCCAGGCCAGACTGTTACAAAGGTAAAACTAAAGCAATTGGCATTGCAGGTTGAGTGTTTATGGATAAAAGAGTTTCTGTCAAAAATAAAAAGTACAGGAGAGATTAACTTCCATCCATCCATTATTCTTTACCTGCTTCTTCCTTTTGGGGTGACAGGGGGTCGCATCATTGAAAATGCAACTCCACAAAGTAGTTTATTTCCACAAGTAGAAAGATTACTAAATATAGTAAACTTTAACACTATAAAGTTTAAAAACACAACAATTGGACTTTAATTCTGTAGCTGAACTACAGAATAGTTCACTCTAGTTGAACACTTTATTTACCAGCTTCTTGTCCATACAATTCAACTTTATAGTCAAGAACTTGAATGAATATTGTTATATTGGTTGATGAAAGAATACAATGCAGTACAACATGCGGTGCATGTTCAAAAAGTTATGAAATAAGAGAAATGACTGCGGAGCAGACAGGAGTTGACATACTTAATGCCAATAGGTGGCGATAATGTGCAAAACAGCTATTTGCAAATCGCCCCAAACAAAAAATTATACAAGAAGAAGAAAGAAGACTCAACGTTGCCAGATAGTGTCGTATTTACACGATAGTTTTAAAGTTTATGTGGATTGGTGAAGGCTTTTGAAAAATTCCAAAGATATACAATAGTTTATAAATTCATATATCTTTTTATTGACTGACAAAACGCATCCTCATTCGATAGTTTGAGTCAAACTGCGTTCATTTTAAAGCGACAGTACGATATTTCGTAATCTTTTATTTGGCACCTGGCACTCTTCCCTTCCAGAGCGGAAACTTGTTCAATCATCCACGTGCGCCGTGCGGTAGCATTTCAGTCACGTTGCTGTATTCACCGCTGCACGATGAAACGACCAAGTAAGTAATTTATGAATATATGATTGTTTTTAAATAATGATTTTATAATAATTTATTGGTATAATCTTCCATTTTGCCAACGGGTTAGCGAGCAGGGTTCTGCTAATGTTTGCCACGAGCTTCCCACTGGCTAAGCTAATTGAATGAATGTTTTCTTCGTGTCATCTTTAGAGTTAAAGAAAGCTAGTAAGCGGATGTCCTGTTCCAAACGTTACAAAATACAGAAAAAGGTAAGTACCATTTACTTGTTTTACATTTTCCTGATGTCGTGGCTCAACTTGTCTTGTCTCACACAAGACAAGAGTTGTTATTTATTGGCTCATATTTCGTTGATGTAGGTCCGGGAGCATAACAGGAAGGTAAGAAAAGAAGCAAAGAAGAAAGGAGTTCAGAAACGAGTGAAGAAGGATCCCGGAGTGCCCAACAGTGCTCCTTTCAAGGAGGAGGTCCTCAGAGAGGCCGAGCAAAGGAGGCTGAAGGTGGGCTTCATTCACTCTAACATCATCACCTTTAATAATCTGGCTGGACCCTGGTTTACTTACTCAGGAAGCTACAGCCACAATAATCTTTGCACTTAATATAAATGCTCGAGTTTTTATTTTTAGATAACTGTCTGGACTGTGGTGCCAATTTCTCATACTGGGTTTGTTTTTGCACTTCTTAGATTGAAGAAGAAAAAGAAAAACAGCGACAAGCCAAGAAGGAAGAACGAGCTCTGAAAAGGAAAAAAGAGAAGGAGGCCGCAGCTAAAGAAACAGAACCCAAAGCCAAGAAGGCTCGAACGGTAAAACATCAAGTCATCAATCGTTTTTGTCTTATTCTTGTTTGAAGATAAATTAGCTTGTAGTTTATTTTTTGACAGGAAATGCATAAAGCCGTTAATCCTAGAATTTAACTTAAAGGAAATACAGAACCTTCATTAATTGTTCTCTTCCAGCATGAAGTCAGTCTTTAAACCTCAAAGCTGGATTTGTAAAATAAATCACAACAAATTTCAGTTTGGTTGTTGCAGCTTGCATCTGGATGGCTTTTTTATTTCTACTTACGTTTTAGTAGCATTGTTGTTGACCTGCTTTTGTGTTTTTTTTTTCTCCTTAGGATAAAACCAGAGAGAAACAAACAACCTCAAACAAAAACTCAAAACAGTTCGTTTGTGCAGAGCTAAACAAGGTAAGAAATCATACAAGTCAGCAGGTTATATGAAATAACTAAAGGGTTAATTCGTATAGTTTTAATCTCTTGTAGGTTATTGATGCATCCGATGTTGTGATAGAAGTCCTCGATGCTCGAGATCCGCTGGGAAGCAGGTGTCCACAGGTGGAGGAGGCTGTGCTGCACGGGGGAGGCAACAAGAAATTACTTCTTGTATTAAACAAAATTGGTAAAATGGACAAGAAAATGCTGCAAGGTTTTTGGTTTAAGGTTATTTTAATGAATATAATTGGATTTTCTGCACTTCCTGTGCTGCAGATCTGGTGCCCAAAGAGATTGTGGAGAGTTGGATCAAGTTTTTACAAAAGGAACTTCCAGTTCTGGCATTCAAAGCGTCAGCGCGGCTCAGAGAAAAAAATGGGGTATGAGATGCTTTTTTTTCTGCATCGTTGTCATGATGTGGAGGACTGAGAAGGTTGAACAGCTTCTGCCATGTTGTTCTAACAGGTTAAACCTCCAAGAGTAATTAACAAGCCACACAGTTGTCACTCTGATGGGAGCAGAGCTGACGTGTGTGTTTGTGGGTCATTAAAAACTAGATTTTCAATAACTAATAAATATGGCATCACTTTATTTTGTAAAATGCATTTTAAAAACAGTTTTATTGATATTTTACATTAAATCTTGTGCTGTTCTGTGGTCATCAGCCAGCCAAAAAGAGCAGAGTGGTTCCTTCGAATGAAGTCCTGGACAAATCCAGAGGAGCTGCCTGCTTGGGAAACGATTGTCTCACAAACTTCCTGACAAGTTATGCTGCAAAGACACAAAATGAAGCTGCACTCAAAGTTGGCGTTGTTGGTAAGCTTCAATCTCGTTTTCTTGAAATCATGTTTAGAAGTGGCTGTAGTTTTCCAAACTTGTTGTTTTGGAGAACTTAATGGTTTTTCATCCACAGGTTTTCCTAACGTAGGGAAGAGCAGCCTCATTAACAGCTTGAAAGGATTACTGGTATGTCATGTTGGTGCTGACAGAGGCACCACAAAGTAAGTAAAAACTTATGTCATTAGTTTCTAAACTGGATTCTGCTCCTTTTTTATGTAGAAAATAAATTTTGATCTTTTCGTCACATCAGAACTATGCAGATGGTGCACATCTCCAAAAACATTAAGATGATGGACAGCCCAGGAATTGTGGCATCTCCATCCAACGCCCCCATCTCCCTGGCTCTGTGGAGCCTGCAGGTGGAAGAGGGTGATCTGAGCGTACTGGATGCTGTCGGGACTCTTATGAATCAGTGTGATAAGAACCAGGTAGGAGCAGCTGCCACTGCAGAAGAGAAAGGAGCTGATAGGTGGGATGAGTTCCAGATGTCACATTGTTTCTCGTTCCAGGTCATGCTTCACTATAATGTCCCAAACTTCAAAAACCCCCTGGAGTTTCTCACCGTGTTTGCCAAGAAGCGTGGGTACCTGCAGAAGGGCGGCGTTCCTAACACGGAGCAGGCAGCAGTTACGTTTCTGTCCGATTGGACGGGGTGAGTGGAAAAAAACAGTCAGGAACAGGATGTTGGCGAGGAAATGAAGACAAAGTGGAAATCTAGATTTGATTCTGAAGACTTGTAATCCAACTCTGATCCAGCTACAGCGATGTTGTGATGGTCTTCATTTTGTTTTTGTCACATAAAATGTATCTGTTTTGGGGTCCCCACAGATCCAAAGTAAGCTTCCACAGTCGAGTGCCAACCAACTACAGCCCCCCTACCTACATGTCTGATGTCGTGGTCACTGAGATGTTTAACGGCTGGGATATAAACAAGCTCAAAAATGAGGAAACGCTTAAAGGTAGTGATGGAATTTGACCTTTTGTAGAGATTTTTCTTTAATCAAAGTTTTTTTTGTTTGTTTTTTTGCCACAATCCCTGCACACATCATAGGAAAAGTTAAATGGCTTCCTGATCTTTTCCATGTTTTAATATATATGCTTTGTTATGGTTTCCTTCGTAGGTTTTAAATTTGTAAACCAGGCCAGCAGCATAAGCTTCACTTCTAAAGGCCTGACTTCAGGTCTGCTGAGTGTGTCTGAAGAAAAACCTGGTGCTGCAGAGGAAAAGGTGGAGCAGAACGAGAACAATGAGGTAACTCCAGATGGAGAAGTATTTAACATTGAAGCAGCTTAAAATAAAAAGTTCTTCTGGAAATGAGGACAAAATGCAAGTCTTGATTTATCTGTGAAGACTTCTAATCCAACTCTGATCCTGCTGACTTTATTTACTCTGTAACTTGAAAAAAGCTGGAATTTAAATAACTGACATCCCTGTTCTTCTCACAGCCTGAACAAACTGTGGACCCGTGTGAGGAGGTAGAAGATCTTAAGAAACCCCAGAAAACATCACTCAGAGGTATTTTTTAGTGTTAAAAAATTACTTAAATATACATTTGTCAGAAAGGTTTTAATTTTGTTCTTTTTTTGCAGAAAAAACCAGCAAGGTGAAATTTCAGTCTGACCCCATCGACATCAGCTTCTCTACAGTCAACACAGATGATGCTTATGACTTCAACACAGATTTTATATGAGCTCTTCTCAACATCATTATATATTTTTGCACCTGTTTTTGTGTTACATGGACTGATAAGTGCTCAGTACTTTTCCTGTTTTAATTGCATATAGTACTACATAAGTGATACTGGTACTTGCTGCTATTTTACTCAGTGGAGGGCCTAAACGAGACAAACTCATCATTTGACACAAACACAGCAGACTGCTGATTGGTCAGATTACTTGTTTTGTAAAACATGAAGGTCTGGTGTTAATTTTTTTTTTAATAGTAATCTGAAAACATTTGTCCTTCCTACTGTGGTACTGTCCTATGTAATAAAAAAAAAACTACCATGAGATGTAAATGCTGACACAAACAGTATAAACATGTTTGCTTTTCCTGTTCTTTGATGTCAGACTACAAATTAACCAGGTGTTGACAGGCCCTGCCACTCTAAACCCAAAAAATATTGGGACAAAACACCTTGTAATGAATCAGATGTTCTGGGATAGTTGGTTGACAGTGTGTATATATCCAATAATTTTTAAAGAGATTGGTTAGGAAGTGCTGAATACTGTATATAAATAATGACCTGTACATGAAGTAAAACTGAAAACAAGCTGCTTGTTGCCTTTTTTCCCCACCTTGTCTGAATCATGTTGCAAGAAAGTTTGTTTTTACAGCCAAATTTCAAAAATAAGATATAAGAAATACTTTACAACAGCAAAGTAACAGCTTTGTAACTTGTATAAAATCTCTTAAAGACATCTGTGCAATTTCTGAAGAGGTAAAATTTGGTTAGAAGCATGCTATAAAATCCACAGTTCAACAGAAGAGGCTTAGTGATCATTTACAACAAATGAAAATTAGGGTAGGTCAACTTAAAGGAACAAAGATTTGTGTAACAAACATTTGACCAAGCAAAGAACAAGAACGGGTATAAATGGGCAGCATTAACAGAAATCCAACAGGACACTATTAGTTGAACTAAAGACAATTTAACATTGAAACTACAGAGTTCATGACACATTAATACAGATTATGATCAAAGATCATTTTTCTCTTCTAAAATATAAAAATACCTCCATGAGGACACTTCCTGGTTCACCCTGAAGCAGAGGTTTGTTTATATGTCACTGCCTTCTTGAGACCTTGTTTTGAGGCACAGAGAAAATAATAAAATGTAGTGTACTCGTTAGGAAATGGCTGACCTGTTGGAGCTACAGGGAATGATGATGTAACAATTAGTGGGCGGCATAAAAAAGTAAGATACCTAATGCACAACTTTCCATGAACATATAAAAAACTCCATTCAGTGGTTTATCAAAAAAAAAATTAAGAAATGTAAGTCACATAAAACAAATGACTAAAAATGCTTGGAAACAAACCATCCAGAGGATAAAAACCAGATTATTAGCAAAAAAAAAAAAAGGCTATAGTTCCTGAGACTGAGCTGGTTCAAAGGTTCCTGAAACCCATTATTTAATCTGAGTGTCGTCGCACTGGATGAAACTTTCCTGTCGGGTCAGGAATGAACCACTTGTCCCATACATCAGAAAAAGAGGACGCTCTCCCCCAGGGCTTATAATGTCCGTTCCAATGCAGGAGTTTGGCAGCTTTCACAAACTGGGGGGAATAGCGATTTCCAGCTCCAGTGGTGCCTGAAAAGGGGTCATTTTTTTTATTATTCTTATATATATTGTCTATCCCTTTCATAAGGATCTGATAACATACACAGTGGAGTGATTTAAGATCGTGGCTCTTCTGTGTCATCCATTAAAAATTACCATAACCAAAACTTACCGAGGTGTCTCACGTGCCACAGTGGGTCAATGGAGGAGTGACGTTTGTAGAAGACAATAAGAAGCGGAGGAGTGGTGACGCTCTCTGCAAGAGTTTTACTGTACAGATCTTCTCTGGGAGGAAAACAAAAACAAGTCGAACAATTACTACTTTTTTTTTAACGACAGAATGATGCAACACGTCCCTGTTTCTCCCTCAGTGGTTACTTACTGGGTGTTGCGCTCCATCCAGTGCTCCAGCTGTTGGGTGATGTTTTGGTTCCTCCACTCCGTCAGGTTTGCAATAATGACTCCTGGGTTGAAGGAACACGTATTGGCCCTCATCCCAAGCTTCTTAATCGATTCCTTCTTAAAGTCCAGGAAACCTATATAGTTGTTCTAATACAAGAAAAGTAAGTTATTAGACACTAATAAATATGATTTGCTTATTTACTTTTAAATGATTTTAAACAGTTAGCTTTAGTAAGATGTAACCACCTGGTTTCCAGCTCCTCGAACTATACCCTTAGAAGATGCCGAGTCACAGTCTTCAGAGAAGGCAGCAGCATGTCCAGGTTTGAGGTTAGCTTCAAAAAGTTCTTGAATGTCTCCTGAGATCCAAAAAACAAACAAAGAAATTATTAAATATTTTAGCTTTACGACAGCTCAATGCAAAACAGATTTAATTGGATTTATTATCAATGGTAGTTCTCTTCTTTACCTTGCACAATGATGTCATCATCCAGGTAGATCGCTTTCTCTGCCTCAGGTATAAATAAAGGCAAATAAAACCTGGCAAACGCCAACTAAAAAATAAAAATAAAAAACATTAAAGTCAAACATAAAAGTTAAATAAACAGCAGTATAATGAGTTAGTTTTCATACGGTTTGTTTCTCTTGTCTTACTGGTTTTGAAGTCTCTGTTGTCTTAAGATCTTTTGGAATCTTCCCACTGAGAAGCTCTTGGTTAAAAATAATGACTTTATGTTTGACATTTTTCAACTTTGTCTGGCTCAGCCACATCCTGTTGGTAAAATATAGAAATAGTTATGTCAGATTACTTGAATAATTAGAAATTTGGGAACAAGTGAATAGTTAACACAGAGGACTTGCCTTAGATGATCCGTGGTGTCGTTCATGGTCACAATAGTGAAAACCACGTTGGCTTTACTGTTCTGGTACACGCTGTTCATGGCAGCAATCACTGCTCCAAGTCTGTCCTCTGTAGCGGTGATGAGAACAGGGATCTCCTCTCCTTTCCTCTCCATGTCTTGGACTTGATCTAGAGACAGCTCAGCCTCAAAGGGAAGGACCATCCCAGCATCTGGGTGGAGACACATTCATAATGATTTATGTTTTAATTAGCCTAGTTTGTCTGATGAGACATGCACACAAACCACATGATGTGAGGAGATTTAGCTGTGTGGCACACAAACAAACCTGGGCTTTCTTTGTGTAAGAAGTCACTGAGGTTGAGGAGGTTTCGCTGAACTATAATTAGGAAGGCCACAGCCAGCAGTATAAGGATAACCACGTTCACTGTGGGTCATAATAAATGTAGAGCTGTGGTTAATAAGGGCAGAAATGTGACAGCGGCACCCATAAATTTTATTGAGTTCACTGTATTAGTCTATTTTTTTCCCAGTGTGTAAAAACAGTTAATGTTGTAATACTGCGAATTAAATCTGACTCACCTCTTCTCAGTGTCATGACATCTATTTTGCAGCACTCATAAAACCTTACAAAAAAAAAAGGTTAAAAAAAAAAACACCGACGCTGAGTGATGCCTGATCAGACCTCCCCCTGTCTTTGTATCGTTGCTTCACTGCTTCGTGGCGACCGTAAACCCTAAATAATGTTATTAAATAGGTTTTAGTAAGGTTAAATTTAGGAATACTTGCTAGTGTCCCACAGTTTGTAAAAGGAAGCCGTGTACAAGACAAACTCACGTTGAAGCCAAAATGCCAACTCAACATCAACAAGTTTACTATAACACAGCTGCACGCAGCTCTGGATGTTTAAAAAGTGCCTGATTAAAATTAATCACTTGTATTTTTCAGCAACCGCGAAATCATTATTTTTTATTAATTACTGTAAAGCAAAATAGTATTCAATAACATTAACATGCAATTAAAATTTTTACTTGCGTCTTAATAAGAGCTATAAAATAAAAACTACTTATTCAAGCAAGGCACTATTGTGGACAGTCTAAGTCCTTAAACAATTTAAAACCAAATTTACTCGTAACTCAAGGCGCTTTGCCTGATCTAAATGATATATAAATCTGTGAAACTTCATGGTTTCTGCCAGGTGAGGGCACTGATGAGTAAACAGATGGTTCTTTAGTTCGACGTAGCGTTTTTAGAAACCGGAAGTCAAACAGCTTTGCTAACTAGAACCAAAAATATTTCTGCTAGTAGTTTATTTCAACTGGAAACATGTTGTCGATATTCAAATCCATTCCCACACACATGGTAAGAAATAATCGCCTCAGTAATTTAACAGAGAGTTGCATAAAAAGTACGCACTGGTTTCGTTAATGCGGACTTAGCCATCATAGCTTCTCAAAAAAAGTAACAGCTGCTAACGCGTTTTTTCTTTACTAAACTCATTCAGCTTTCCGGTTAGTAGACATTTACTAGGTTCTCCGGACGGAGCAGAGGTTTAAAATAACCCTAAAGTGTGATCAAATGTAGTCATTTGTGTTCAAAGTTGACTTTAAGCTCAGAAGGAAAGCTGTTTTATAGGTCCTGGAATAGATTTGTGTTTCAAGATGTTTCCGGTTTTGTTTTGTTTTTAAGATCATTGTGTAAAAGATGGACGTGGCCAACATTTATTTCATTATGTTGCAGGATTATAAGGGCCAGAAACTGGCTGAGCAGATTTTCCAAGGAATTATACTCATCTCTGCGGTAAACAATAACACCTGCATAAAAGCAAAACGTCCTGCTAAGACATGCTTTTGCCTTTAGTCTGGTTTACTAATGGTATTTCTTCACAGGTGATAGGATTCATCTACGGTCTGATCATTCAGCAGTTTGGGTGGACGGTGTACATAGTATTGGCTGGTTTTGCTGTGTCCTGTGTGGTAGGTTTTTAAGCATCATTGTTTGATGGTCCACTGTGCTGAAACTTAAATTTTATTTAAATTACAATTTTTAGAAAATAACACCAGGTTGTGTTTCTGTCCTCTGCTCCAGTTGACCCTGCCTCCGTGGCCCATGTACAGGAAGAATCCTCTGCAGTGGCAGCCTGTTATACCAGAGAGCAGCGGGGAATCTCCCCAAAAGCCTCAAGAAGCCAGCAAAAGGAAGAAGCACAAATAGGTCAATAACCATCCCTTACCTGGATTTGAAGGGGTTTTTTTTATACAAAGAACCATCTTGATGTTTGTCCCAACAGTTCACATTAAAAACATCCACAAAGTAAATGTGTTGTCAGTATGAAAAGATGATTTACGTAAATATTTGATCATGTCTGTTTAATAAATAGGGTTTTTTGAAAGATATTGAGAATGTGACTTTTTTTTTCTATAATAAAATTAGCTGTGAGATTTTTTTTTTTTAAATTTTATTAGAAATAGTTCAACTGTTAATATCTACAATACATCTATTTTACATTATTTAATAAAAAAAAGTAGAAATACGGCAGCAAATGTTAAATCAAAGAAATGAAAACTTACATAAGTGATATGGCCGTAGAAGTTTTGGCTTACATCAAGTACATTTCAACTCTACTACAGGATATAAAAAGACAAATAAGAGCTTTAAAATAAAAACATTTTGCATAGGTATTTTACACTTTTGTTGGATTGTTTTCACATTATGCATTTGTACTGAAAAATGTACGCATTTATTTACAATTTATGTTGGGTTTCAATTTCACAGCAAACTCTTCCAGTAATAAGAACTTGCACACTAGCAGAAGTGGTCATTTGGCAGAAAACATTGAACCTCAGAATGGTTTAAATTTCTCATTGAAAACAGTCATTTTAACAAAGACCACAATCTGTTGGTGTTGAAGAAACATGACAAGATATGAAGCAAGGTTGTTTGTTTTTGTTTTGTTTTTTTTTAACCAAAAAGATCTCGGATGAGTTTGCCTGTGTGTGTTTGCATCTTTAAACCCTCAAGGCCACGTCCTCGAAAAACTTGAGCTGTCTCACCATGACAGCGTAAGCTTGATATTTCTCATCACCCATCTCMTCACGAAGGCACAGCTGGAAAATAATGAAGCAAATTAGCATCAGATTGAAAATAAACAGATTTGCATGCAAACTTTAATCTGTCCCATAAAACAATCACTTGTAGCATTTTATTTGACAAAATGAACTGGTGTTTATTTAAAGAGTAAAAGTATTTTGTGTGAACAAGTTTATCTGCAGTGTCCATTCATTTAATAGTAATTAACATATGTTTGATTTGGTTTTTAAAATGTTCTTTCAAGCAGTCAAGGAAAACATTTTTATATTTTTGCAGCCTTACATTAAAACCTTTTCATTGATTATGTTGATGTATGAAATAATCTGCTTACTTCTTTTTTGACCTCGTCCTCCTCTTCCATGATTTCAAGCACTTTATCCAAAAGCTTGACACCCAGACCTTTCACCACATCTGTTCTCAGGTGCTCTATCGCTCTCCTTATCTTRGCCGGACCGGACGAGGAGCCTTCTGAAGAGGCAGAGTTGTTAAACACAATGAAAAGCCCATGACTGTCTCCCTGCAGACCACTAAGCTTGATGTCAAAAGTACCAAACCTATTGGTATTTCGCAGAGCGACAAGTTCTCTGGTTCTCCACGATTTCTCCCATGAAGCACCAGGGTGTCCCTGTACCTCCTGTTCAGTCTGAACTCTGGCAGTGTGGWGGAGTCAGGTCGGCTCTTGTCCGCCTCCTGTCCTCCATCTACGTCCATTCTCAAAGTCTGAGTCATCATGTCAACTAAATCGTGCATGTCGCTGGATTCGGTCTTTCTGCAGATAACCCAGAAAATGTGAGAAGGTGGATGCRTTGCAGATCACAAGACTAACAGTAAAATGCTGATAATGTCTATATGCTATATGCTGTCACCTTTCCCTGCAGTCTCCCTCTGAACGCTCCGTGGAACTTGCAGATGAGCCGAACTCGTCTTCATCAGACTTGTGTTCCATCAGCTTATCCTGTAGTGATGAAATAAACCAGTTATGTGACAGATGATCTGATATTTTAAAGGGATCCACGATTAGTTGTAACATTAGACTTTATTTGATAAACATTTATTTTAACTGTAAAATAAAGACTGTAAAAATACTGTAGGCTGTTTAGTTTTGTAAATTTTTTTAAAAATATTACATGGACGAAGCCATTTTATTTACACACAAAGCATTCTGGGTAAACAATAGGTCCTCGGTGTGAGCGAGCTATATCCACCCTGAAGGTTAATCTTGGACAATATCTGATGATCGACTCTTTTAAATGAAACCAGAGAGCGTTGACAGAGAGGAGAAGGTAGAAATGACTCAGCCTGTAACTGAAAATATGGATGGAGGACAACAGAGCTGCTTCATGGAAGAAGAACCTCAGCTTAGCCTGTTAGCTTTAGCACCAACGCTATACAGCCTTATATGTATTAGCTCGGTGCTAGCACGACAAACAAGCTAAACTGAGATCCTCCATCCATATTTTCAGTTACAGGCTGAGTCTTTTCTACCTTCTCACGCTCTCTGGTTTCATTTAAAAGAGTCGATCATCAGATATTGTCCAAGATTAACCTTCAGGGTGGATATAGCGCGCTCACACTGAGGACCTATCCACGTTATCATTTACTAAGAATGCTTTGTTTGTAAATAAAAAGGCCCCGTCCGTGTTAAAATATATTTTAAACTTTTAGTTAAAAAATTAAAAAAACTAAACAGCCTACAGTATTTTTACAGTCTTTATTTTACAGCTAAAATATATGTTTATTAAATAAAATCTAATGTTACAACTAATCATGGATTTGCACTTAACAGTTCCAGATTAGACTTCCAGACTGAGTCCTTTATTATTCTTCTACAATTTAAGAGCCGAGTTTCTGTACCTTACTGCTGGACTCTGTCACAGAATAAGAAGCGGATCGTGTAACTGGGACACTGTGGTACTCTGCTTTGGTGGAGGCAGTATCATAGGATGCTCTTCGTGCAGCACCTAAACCTGAGCAAATCAGATAACTAATATTAAAAAATACTCCACCTAATAACTTTAGAGCATTGCAGGAACAAAACTTAAAACGTGAAAGTAATTAACCTGTGTGGTTCAGAGCTAAACTTTCTGCATGGAGAAGTTTTTTTTATTCTATTGTGTATTTGTTTTTATTATCTTACAACTGTTTGAGATCTTCTCTCAGTTTGGAGTGATTACCTGCTTGGCAGCTGCTCTCCTGGGACTGCCTCAGTCGTCTTCTCTCTCTAGCAGTCAGAGGACGGTCCTGCAAACAAAACTGAATCATGTTGTTTTGTCACAGAAGAACAGGAYTTTGCTTTAGTCAGGGTGAAATATATCACGATCCATGGTCAGAAACAGAACACCAACACAGAAATGGTTTACTGCCAGGGAGTCCTTTTCTATTCAACATTAAAGACTACAAAAACTGGGAAAATAAATCATAATTTCACAAGTTTTACTTTTAGTGGGGTTTTTTTTATCATGAAAACCTAAAAACACATCAATAAAACACTAGAAAAAATAAAACTAAATAGGATTGTTGCTAAAAAAAACTGTAATAGCACAAGGGACCTCAGTTCTTCTGTTTCAGTTGTAGAATTAAAATGAAAACTTAAACATATAAAGTGACTGATCAATGGATCACATGTAGCAGTAACAAAATCAGCAGATACTGATTTCAAGCTCACAGTAAAAATGAAAATGTAAAAAAATGTCAGAATTAGATAAGAGKTAAGTTTTCAGATTTAGTGGTAGCAGTTTTTCTATTTTCACGTCAGAAAGTTTAAAGTTTTTGCTGCAATCACATTTTAATAACAAAATTAAAAACGCAGTACAGATAAAAGCTCACTGCCGACCCCTAACGATGATCTAATCCTGTTTTTTTAACCAAACAATTCATGAGAGACATTACTACATCTTTTTTTTCTAGGACTCAATAAAATCTGTTTGGGCATTTTATGTTTATTTAATTTCAACAAGTCTGTGCATCATTCTCACCTGGGGGACTGGAAGGAATCCATCCTGAGAGGAACTGACTGATGCTGAAGTCACTGCAGCCTTTTTGTTTCCAGACGTCCTCTTACTCCTYTTCTTCACTTCCACAGACTCAGCAGGAGGTTGAGGTAAAGGTCTTGGAGCTGCCACCTTGAGATTGTAACAAGAACAATTCACACAACTCACTGCTACATTTCTGTTGCCTCTATTTCTATTTTGAAAACAGGAAATGAACAGTAGAAGAAAACAAAAACTCCAAGCTATATAATGTTACAGAACACTGTGGAGTTGTAACTTCAGCTCTTTTATCCTTGTTTACCTGTTTCTGATCTCTTTTCGTCTGCCTCGTGTGCATGTCTTTGTGCTGCTGTGATACTGAAGGTTCTGACAAATACCATGGACTTTGGCAGGGAGAAGCTGGCTCTTGTTCAGTGGCTACAGGAGAAGATTCCTCTGGAACAGAYTCCTGAAGACAAACAAACTTTTCCAGCTGGGAAACAATCACGCTGTTTACAAKTTTTCTACACGGAGCAGTGGGTGTGTTTAATCGAATATTTCTGGATATTTTGTAAGAGTGTGAGTATTTTAACACTTTACCTGTGCTACTGGCTCTAACAGACTCTCAGTAGCTTCCAGGAAGTCCTTCAAAAACAGGAATAAACTCAATAAAAAAGTGACAATTAACAAATATAGTGTGTTTTTGGCTTATTTGGACACTTACTTGGACATCCGAAGTGTGTGGAAGCGATGGAGCTTGCTTGATAAGAGCCAGGGTGTTATTCTGATGGTCTGTATTCCCGTCCAGAACTCCTCCAGTGTTTTTTAGATTTGGGTTCTGTACATCAGCCTCTCTAAGTAACTCTACGGTATCATCTTTACAACCCACAGCTGATATCTGTTTCCCCACAATGATGGAGAATGTTTCCCTCGGGTTGGGTGTGGCCTGTGGCTGAATGTCTAAACATCCATTGGCTGCAGGCCTCTTGTCTCCGCCCCGGCCACCAACACCTGATCCGGCCTTCAGAGGGGGCTCCACAGGAGAGGGAGGAGGGGAAAGAGCAGGTTTCCCTCTCACCTTGCTCTTTTTGCTCACACTGCGAGTCGCAGGAGGTTCCAAAKGTGGCGTTTGACCTGGTCTCCTCATCACATCTTCATCCTGCTGCAGTGGGAGGTCGATATTAACATTGCTGACGGTGGCCATGGATGCAATACTGGTTTGAAACACATCAGATGATGGAGATTTCTGTGGTTGGGAGGTTGGGACAGGAGGGAGGTCTGATTTATCTGCTTTCTAAGAAAGAACAGATGAAAAACATAATAATTAGTCTCCTGTAATAAAGACTTTATTGTAAACAGCTTCATCAGTAAAATAATCAAAACAAACCACTTGACTGTTTAATACACATACACATCAACTGAGGCAAGCTAAGGTTTGTGCTTTCTATAATCTATTTATTTATTTTCTAATAACAGATATTTCAAGTTTTTGAATTAAATTAAAATCAAAAGAACAACATACAAATTAGTCAACATCCTATTTGTTTTAATGTTTTTTTTCTCCAAGTGTGTCTAGGACACAATAGTAACATGGAAATATATGTATGTATTTTTTTAAGAAAAAAAGAAAAAAGACATTTTCAAAACCTCTGTATTCATCACCAGCTCACCTTCTTTATGCGGACAGGATGTTCAGGCTGCTGAGGTTTCAGTTGAGTCGATGCTTCAGATGAACTGATGGACACAGGGTCTCTTCTCACAGCTTTTTTTCTTGATTTGGCTGTTTTTCTAGAAAAGTGAGAAACAAATAAAGTTTTATAAAAAATAATACTCCATTCTACTATAAGAGCAGAATCAAGGGTTAACAAAAATGACCTTTGTATGAACTGATTCAAGTTGAAATAAAGAGAGTTTTTTTATACATTTTTCATAAAACAAGAAATCAAACTAACAAAAGATCTTAAGAAGTCTGTGGCAATAAGACGTACTCTTTGGTGGCCTCGAGGAACATGGCAATTTGTCGTTTTATGTACGGCTGCCGGAGAATGAGTTTCACCTCAGGCCTGTCTTCAGGTCTCTTACACAACATGTTCTTGATCAAAGCTCCAAGCTGGGGATCATATTGACTTGGCATCGTTGGCAACTAATGACAAAAACAACCTTTAGGTAATAAGTTTACAAAATAGAAAAACATCAAATCTGAAGAAAAGGTAAAAATAGCTAAAATACAGATGTTCACACACAGAAAATTCTAAAYACTTCTTTCACAAACAAATCTTCACTTTATAAAGTTGGTTACACTGTCATAAGCTAGCCAAAAACTTTAGCTTTGGTAGCTTTATTCATTATTTACTGTGAATAAAAAACAGAAAACATTACTATAACTCAAATCTTTCTGAAACTTATGATAATCTTTGACTTGACTGAGACAAAATTTTRAAGAAAAATGTCAATCTGAAACCAACCTTTCCCTCAACGATGCGATACACCAGTGAGTTCATGTCCTTGGCATTGAAGGCGTGTTTCAGAGTGGACATTTCGTACACACAGCAGCCCAGGGCCCAAACATCTGACTAGAGACAGAACACATTCAGTTACACAACTGACACAAGTTAGCATCTACACAACTGTTAGGACTGAAAATACATCCAGGCCTGAAACGTTAAGCTATCAACAGCATCTACGCTGTGAAAYCTGAGTATAATGAACCCATCAGTACACACAATTTATAAAAACAACCATTSTTTACAACAAATATAAACAAGGAATTAATTCTATCAAATCAGAAACATATATAAACTCGTCCGTGTGGCTGCTGCAAAGGTTTTAAAGTTCCAAAAATGTTTTTACGTCRGAACAGTTTTCTTCTTTTTATTTTAGTTTTGTGGTCTACCATGCAAACAAGGAGACAAATAACACTGCTAAATTTAAATATTTCATGATTTCTAACATTGTATCTCAATTAATATACCCTTAAAAGTTTTTTCAATCTATCTATAACTGGAAACGGTTTAATTTTAAATAATAACCACTAATTAGTTTTGGCCGATTTATCAAAACTAATGTTGAAAAACAGAGCAAACATYTAGATTTAATCCAGAAACAAACATGAGAAAATGTGACTTATAAAGTAGGTTTTGTATACTTTTATATGATATATTGAGTTGTAAGGATTGCTTTAATTTGTATTATTCGTTAATAGGTAAGAAATCAGATAAAACTATTGAACTGCTTATGGGAAGGAAGATCTAAACCAAACCATCGAACTCAAACTGATATACCAGACTAAATTTCTATTTGAAGATTACCATTKTATTTATTTTTCATTCTTAAAAAAAATCCAAAACAATTCATCTGTATTGTTTCTAGGCCCACAAAATGACTGAAAGCAGAGATTAATGCTACCTTGTGGTTGTAGGGTTTATTGGAGAACAGCTCAGGACTCATGTAGTATGGGGTCCCGATCAAAGTGCTGGCCATATCATTCTGGTTCTCCAAAACCCGTGCAATACCAAGGTCCCCAACTTTGATGATGTTGGTTTTAGTCAGGAAGATGTTCTGTGTTTTCAGGTCCCGGTGAAGAATATTTCTCTCATGCAGGTACTGAAAATCAAGAATCACATTACTGACTGTATCCTGCTCAGACATATAATATATTTATATGTATCCTAATTTAAGTATTGGTATACTGTACCTGGAGTGCCATGGCTATCTGGACAAACCACTCCACAACCTGCCTCTCTGGCAGTAGCTCCCCTTTTTGTTGTTTGAGCCTGTGATAGAGGTCACCCCCTTCGCAGAAACCCATCACAATATACAGCTGACGGTCATTTCCTTCCCAAGACTCCCTGTAGGTCACAATGTTAGGGTGTCTCAGCCGGGACAGAAGCTGTGCCTCCTGCTCCGCTGCAYGCCGCTCACGCTTGGAAGAGGTGGTCAAATTCAGCTTCTTTATTACGTACTAAGGAAAACCAGACACAGACTCAGCATTAAAGCAKYATTTATATTCATCTAATGTGAATTCAGAGCTAACACAAAAGCAAGACAGATATAATCGTGTACAATTGCGAGCAAGAGGCTATTCCAGTCAGATWGAAGGAGATTGGACTACTTCAATCTATTTTTTCATTTAAGTTTTAGAGAAGATGAACGTGTTAGAGCCGTGGTTCTCAACTGATCTGGCTTCAGGAACAACTATCATGCCTTGCCCCAAATACATTCATAGCTGCTTGTTTTTTTTTTTATTACATTTTAAATGTAAAAGTATTAATTGGTATTTGATGTTGTGATAGCAATGTATGTATGCTAGGTGTCAGAATGATTGCTGAGCAAAAAGGCCAAAGCTTTCCATTTATTGGCCTATCTATGTTCCAACCCTCACCTATGGTCAYGTGGTGTGGAGCATGCCTGAATGAGATCCTGGACCTGAACACAAGCTGAAAACGAGCTTCTTTAATAGTGTGGCCAAGCTCGGCCTCGGAGAAAGAGTGAGGAGCTCCATCATCCAGAGGGAGCTGAGAGTAAAGCAGCTGCTTCTCCTCATTGAAAGAAGCCAGTTGAGGTGGTTCAGGAGTCYGATCAGGAGGCCTCTCCTCTCTCTGGAGATTTTCTGGCATGTCCCATTGGGAAGAGACCCCAGCACCAAACMTGCCAATTATATATCCTCTGTCCTAGAAATACATTGGGATCACACAGGATGAACTGGAGAGGGATGTCTGAGTTTCTCTCCTGGAAATGTTACTTCACTGACCGAAACCATTAATGAGCAAGGGAAGGTAAGATTTTTTTCATCATTATTTTAAATCAAGTCTCATTGTCTTTTAAAATGCGGTTTGATCTCTATGTTGTCTGGATAACTACAGCAAACATAAACCTGATGTTATCCTCGGGTTACAYACCTGAATCTTAATAATTTAGTTTGCTGGAAAAAATCTCAACATGAAGGCATCGAATCACTGACTTTGACTAACTTCAGTCATACTTACACAGGATTTCTACAAATCCAAAATCTTTTAAAAGTTTATTATGTTTAATCTTGATTTGGAATCCTCACTCTTGTTTCTTACCTGTTTTCGGTCTGTTGTGTGTTTCACCAAGTTCACCTCCCCATAGCTGCCTTTCCCGACGACCCTGAGGAAAACATAATTATCCATCTTTGTTCGCAGCTCAGCATCACACGACGCTTACGGCAGAAACGAACGTGTTACTTCGTGTCATAGTCCAGGATAAATGACAAAATAAACACGTAAAATCTGTTTGGAAAACTTCACGTTAGCTTAGTGCCACCGCTAAGGTTTTGAAAAGGCAGGAAACAAGCAGAAGTCTTTAGTTTGTCATCACTAGGCAACGGCAGCGCGTGAACCAAAGACAATAAGTTTATTCCACAGCGCCACCTGCAGGCTGGGGTGCGACACAGCAGCAGACACATAATCAGAAAGTTAATCAGAGGGAGTTTCATTAATGATCTGCAAATAAAAAAAAAAATCTTTATCACTTTTCAGATGAAATGCAAACAAATTAATTCAGCGTATCTGTTCTTCTTTATCAAAAAGAAAAAAATGTATAGGTCTTCTGGA